TGAAAATGCAGATTCTCTCTAAATGTGCTGGAAAAATGGAGAAAAAAAACCCCTAAAACAAAATAAAAAGATTAATGCACAACCTATATTTTTTAACAAGAGTTGGACTTGTAATTATTTATTGACTGAAGTATGAGGTGAAAGCGTGTACTTCGTTTGTGGAGAGCAGATTGCCGTGTCTGAATCATCTCATGAGGCTAAACATGACAAGTACATGCTTGGATAGGCTCATGCTGAAATAGGACAAACAGGATGGTGTTACAACGGATGGAGGTCCAAATCTGACAGGGAAAAATGTTGGATTTTAGAAACTGATACAAGATAAAGTGACTGAAATATAACCTGAAAGGTGTAAGTAGCTGCTAAGAATTAACCACATGGAAATTGATTACTAAATTAGTTTACTTAATCAGAGCAAGAACACCAAATCACAGACAGTTTGCTTTACTTTTGAACTAGGATGAGACTGAACATGGTGACACAGGCTACCACACACCTGTCAGGTAGCTCATCGAGGTGCCATTAAAGATAGAAAGAATATGGGACCTGAGAGCAGAAATTTGAGAGTTTTATGAGAAGAAAAGTAATAGAGCTCTCTGAAAGGAAGGCAGACGTTGCACTTGTTGTTGTGACTGCCCCTTGCTTTTCTACTCATACAATGAACCAAATTTTAAATAGTTTAAGCCTAAAACAGACTAGATTTCCCACTTAAAACTACAAGCAAAATAGCAATAGCATAGAGTCATTGAAAGAAAATACGCTTTTTATTCAAAACTGTTTTTGGGAATTTTGAATAAATAGTGAAACAATGTTGGCATTTTTAGTACGCCCATTTCACATTCTCATTACAAAGTGTAACATCTACTTTTACAGTAACAGTAGCAGCTTATAAGAAGATACCTTAATATAAATTAATATTGAGCACAACTGAGTTCAGCTTAATGTAGTCTTCCACAACAGTTTCTCAAGTGGTCTCTTACGAAAATGAATTGCCCGCCCCTGGTCTAAGAAAATGTATGAATGAACAATTTGTTTCCCTAAAAATTGATGTGCTAAAAAAAAGGAGAAAAAAAGAATCCATACATTCAGCTATTTCAATATCTCTGTGGGTACAATTATAGTTTAGAAAGGTCCAAAAAGTCTTGTAAGAAAAACCCCCACAGCAGATCGGCCCATGTAGGAAACTGCCAAAAAAAAGATTGTCCATGGTGTGTATTACATTTTTCACATAACCAACCAAACTGATTCTAACCAGAAGAGAAGCGGGATGATCTAGAGGAAGATAAGTAAACCAGAGTCTCCATATCTGAGGCTGGCCGTTAAAAAGAAGAGCATACACTCAAACTTTCCAAACTCTGACTCAAAGGTCAGCATGCTGGACTGTTTAATGAAACTGCCAGTCGATGACCTGTGAGGCATCTGTTTCTTTTAACAGAATAATAATCCTAATCTCAACAACAGAAAAACTACCAACAAAAGGAGGGTTGTGAAAGAACTGAATGAAAGCCCAGATGTGTAGTACATGGACAAAAATCCTGAAACACATCACCAGTGAAGAAATTCTGCAGAAAAAAACATCTGTTGACATTTTAGTTAAAGAGGAAAAACGGAAAAAGTCCTTTGTGAGCTGTATCCATGTATGTAATCAAAGAGGATAAAAAGCTTGCTTGTCAAAATGAGATTTTCATTGGATTAAAAAAAAAAAAAAATTAATGAACTGTTTGTTCGTTTCCACAAAACCATAGTTGAAATATTTTATCACTGAAAAATGATTTCTTCCAGGTAAACAAATCCACAACCTTCTTTAAGTTCCACATTTGTGGTTAAACATTATCATGTTATTGTAGCTGCTGCATTTGAGATAATCGTGTCAAGTCCATTAATTAGGAAGCCAGGTGAAGCTGACTGTTAATTATCAATGAATTAAATTTGGCCAGTGCTACAAGATCTGCCGCTACTACTGGAAAAAAGCTGAAAAGGCTTCTTTTTTTATTATTTAACATTCAGTTAATTGATACTGCTACACAGATGAAAAAGCCCAACCTTACAGCTTTTAAAATCACAGCGACCCCTCTATCAAAGAGGTGGACCACCAAACCAGGGGAATTGCCAGCAAATATTAATAGCTAAAATTGAATGGACATCGGAACAGGCTCCAGTGTGATGCATTTGTCCCTTTTCCTGCAGAGTGAGTGCATACAGTCTGGCTTTCTATAACAACAACAATAAAACTAACCTCATATGTTAAAAGGGTGTTGCTGTCAACTGCTCGCTCTAAATCTTTCTGCTCCTTAGTGGTCAAAATTGCTTAATGCAACTTTTATTAGCAAAGTAACGAGCACTAGAGAGGGGAGAGGGCCCGTAAAATGTCCTCGGAGATGCAAGGCCTGTTCCTAAGAAAAAAAAAAAAAGAGTTAAGTGAGTACAGTGTGATTTCACACCTATGGTGAGGGTGGCTGGATGGTGAGTGGGAGGCACGGCTGTTACCCACACGATGCCAGTCTGCCAGGGCACCACCTAGGGCCCTACATCGCCCCCCCCTTTTCTCCCCCTCCCGTCCTGTGACGCCATGTTCCCCTTGCCCTGCAACACCAGTGCCCATCTGCTAGGACACGTTAGCCGCTGGCGCCAGGGACTATTTAGCCTGGCGTAATTAGCCCCCAGACACCAGCAGCCTGGTTTTTAAACAGATGTGGGGGAGGTAGCACTAGCAAGGCGACTATATACGACCAACAAATGTTTGATAAGGATGAGAGAGGAAGAGGGAGAGAGAGCGCGAAGAGAAGATGTGACCTAGTTAAAGGGATGATGCAACTTATGTTACAGCACAATGGGCAGTAATGATGACAACCCTACTTGCTCTGACTGTCCAATGCCATGGTCGAGGAAAGCCGAGCAGATGAAATTTAATTAGGCTGTGTCCATTTGCTGTACTGACATACAAGTATGTGGAAATAAACACTTTAACAGACAGACAAGGATGTTTTAACCTAAAATACCGATGCGTTTTCCTTATTCCGAGTACCCTCACTGGCTTATTGTGTACTTGGCCTGACCTTTAACGAGGGACAGAGAAAGGTTACAGTGCAGATGCCCTTGAACCTCATGATCGTAATCACACGTGACTGTAACGGCAATGACCTTTACCCGCTTCCCTCCCCTCCTCCTCCTCACCATCTTTTTCCTCCCTTCCTCCACACCCCCCAGGGTCATTTGAGGGTCCAGACTCTTGTCAAGGCTGTCACTCTAGACAGCCCTCTCCATCTACCGCCCCCACTGTTGCCATGGCAATGGACGGCACTGCGCTCTGAGGACTGTGTGAGGGGGCAGAGGGAGCCAGCGGACGGATGAACGCTGCAGCATCTTTCCCTAACCTAGGTCAACCTTGCAGAGCTAGTGTAAGTAACGGGAGGGGATAAATGCTGGTCATGCCGCTTGAAGCCCAAATAAACTGTCAGGATAACGTCAGCACAGGGACGGGAAAGAGCAGTGATGAAACAAAGAGCACAGGTAGAGGGAGTACAGTGAAGGAATTATATAAAGCCCATAAGCATTGTCTCAATTTCTCTGTTTACACTCATGGGCCAATCATGTAATCCCTGTCTTCTGCAAAGACATGCACACACACGCGGAAACGTGACCTGGGGGCAGGCACTGGAGCAGCACACGTGTACTATCACAGAGCTCCCAGCCAGCATGAGTCACTGTGAACACCAGTCGACCCAGAGAGAACAATGGCAACCGGTGTGTGTGAGGGTGTCTGTCAAGCGTGCACGTACTGGCACAGGATGAAGAGCCACGGATGGAGCAACACCCCACTGCGCCACCGTCAGACAGCCATTTGTTTTCTTTGTGTGGATGCATACTTGCACGAGTGTGGCACACTGTACGTTTTATGATTGCACCGCCTGTCTTCCTCTTATACTTGTAAAGGAAAAACAATTGCGCTGTACACATAATGTGAGCACTGCAATTAAGCAATCAATAAGGAAAGAATCACTCTGCTCATATGTAGTTGGAAAAGCTAGCTGTGTCGGTGCATACTTCAGCCTGTTTCATTCCTGACTGCCTGAGAGACGCACTCCAGCAGCCCACAGTGGACAAACACCTGTCCATAACACACTTGAACCGGACCTGGCATTCAGTAGAGATTCTGATGCAGGTTTAAAAAAAGCACCTGCTCTAACACTTTATTTAGCCCGTGATACAAACCGTATAGTACGTTGAAAACAATGATTGCATTTATGTAATGCTAAGCGCAGAAGCAGCAGCGCACACACTCCGAAAGAAGGAATCAGGTTTGCATCTTCTGCTTCCTTGGGCAGGGAACCAGAAGAGGCAAAGGCTAAATCACGCTGCAATACATGATGTCAGAGCGGTCCGCACAGGTTGAGACGTGGTTCATGTCAAAACTCTTGCTCTTAAACTGCCTGACATGGAACAAGGAGCAAGTCAGGGTTGAGTTTAAGTTCAACAATGCAAGCAAGGTTATATAATATTATATAATTTGCCATTTGCTGGCCTTGTTTTGGGGGACATCAGAGCAGAAGACACTCGACAAAATAAAAGTGAAACAGAAGCTTCAAAAAAACGAAGACAATTATCCCCCTGCAGGTTCGTAATACTCTCCTCAGTTTTAGCTTGGGTTTTATGTCAGTCAGCGTCTTAACCTTTGGCCTACATCTAACCTCCCAAGCTGATCTGGAACATAAACAGCCAACTGGTACAATAAATAACAAGATAACAGTGCGTGACCTGTTCTTTCCTAGAACTACTTGCAGTGGTGACCGTTCTTTTAGATATGTATGTTTGCAGAAACTGCTTTGTTGAAACTCACGAAATACAGTGCAAGAATTCAAAATATATATTGAAGACCACAGAGTTAGTGTTTTGCATAGATTTAAGGGCACAGAACTGTGCCAATTGTTGCAAAGACCGATCTGAGAGCTATAAAGCTCATTTTGCATTTCTACAGTTCTATAGATAAGCAGACAGCCTACCTGAAAGCTTAATCAGCAGCTCAGAGGCAACCTTAACGTTGATATCCTGGCTCAGCAAGCTGTTCTTAGCCATGGGGCTTCCTTCTCTTGGTTTCAGTGACCCTGGGCGATCTGTGGCTGCTGCAGCCACCGTTGGCCCGTCTGGGCTGAAAGTCGTAGGGAAGCTTGGCTGGATCTGGCTCTGGGACTGGGAGGATGGTCTCGGGCTCAGTGCTTCCTCCACTTTGGGCTCTTCCTTCAGTTGGAACGGAGATTTGAGTGTCTCCCTCTGATTGGCCGCTGGAGCCAAGAAGACAAAAGAGATCAGAGGGAAAAGTGATTATCCAAAGAAGGCCATGACCAAAACACCTGACATGCATTTCATAAGCTGAAGTCACTTACGCAGCACTGTGGAAATGTAAAAAAAAACAAATGAATGACAACATTTTCCACAATGGGATATCACAGGTCATACTGGCCAACAGTTGGCGCGATATGGGGGGAAAAAACCAGGGCGCAATCTTATGATCTCATTTCGTCTTAAGGGTATCCACAACAAATTCAGAATTCCTCCTCTCTTTCTTTTCTACCTCACAGAGCCTTTCCCTCTCCCCAACCCATTCATTTCTGTGCATATTATTCTCAACCTTAAGTCTGGATTCCTCGTTTCCTTTTGCATTTGACATCATCTGAATCCCCTTCATGAGGGGACATGAAATAATTGGACATGAAATAATTCCAGCAGTTCTGATAGCAATCAGCCGAAGTCTTATCTGCCATCTTTGCTGTGTGTAGCCTAGGTTAGGGATTGAACTGTCACATGGATCCCTCTGCTCTAAAGTCATCTTCAAGAGAAACTGGGCCACATCTAATCCGCCTTAGATGAATAATTAATAATTAGACATGGAGCAACTTCCGATAGCCGCCAAGAAAAGAACAGCAGGGCAAGCGCCTCTCTTTGTGTCTCTGAGCACATTCCACTACTCCCTGTGCTAAAGCGAAGGTTTTTACAGGTTATGGCTCAGAAAAATGGTTGAAATAAAAACTGCTTTAACACACACAAAAAAGAAGAGCTAAAAATATTGCCTAAAATATACCATACTGTTAGTGGAAAGACACGTCACGTCTGTTTAATACAGGGCTGTGGGAACAGAAGGTTAAAGGATACCACTGTCTACCAATTAAGTGCAGGTGCACTATACCATTTTTCAGAAAGAACGCGAGTACTGAGGACTTTTTTAACAAATAGATTATTGTGCAATGTCACAAAACTTCAGTTACTTAAATTTAAGTCACACTGTTTGGCCACAAAATTAAAAACCACTTCCTCTAGATCCCTCACTGAACCTTTTTATGTCACTAGAGCCATTTTCATTTCCAAATATAGTTTTGTTCTTCTTCTTTTTTTTTAACTATGTCAAATGATTCAAAAATGCACTGCACAATATTCGTTTGATTTATGAGGACACAATAACTTGAAAACTTACAAAGCCTTCTGGACTTAATTGGACGTATTAAAGGATCAAAATCCCCCGCTGTTGCATGAAGTGAAAAAGCCGAGTTTACATGCTCTTTGATCTTGTTTATTCAAAATCTAAAGAGATCAGCCCATGTGACTTGTGAGCACTATCTGCAATAGTGGCATTGTGATGTGGGGCAAATTCATATGCGAGTCAAGAAGCAGCTTCGTTGCTATGATAACCAAACATGACAGAAGTTACAAAAATAAAGATGGTATATAATGTCATTTTTACCCCATAGCAACATGACTCATTTGTAGAAGGACATCACTGCAATCTGCAATAAATCAATTTGCGAGCGCTCCAGCAGACACCACGGTTGAGTACCTGCTAAGGAGCTATGCAGGTATCACTAGTTCAACTTCATAATTAGCCACACCAAATTTGGCTTTCCATTTTTCCATTTGAATGCTAATACTGTTTGACTGTGCTAATGTCAAGTGGTGCAGCGACAAACACATCTTCACATCTACTGGCACAACCCCTGACACTTGTACAGTTTGAAACAGCTTGTACATCCTAGCATGGACACTCAATCTGCAACACACACACAAACACACACAGAGCATGGCTATAAGAGAGGCTATCACTCTTGGGCAGACTGCTGTCCAGTCTCCTCTGGCCCCAGCAGAGATCTGCTCCGCTCCTCACCCGATCGTCTCACCTAACATCTCTAACCGCCACAGGCCTGCCGCCCCCTGCCCACATCATCAATCTGCGCTGGCCCCGGCCCCTCTGATTAATGATGATCTATGCCGGAGGGATAGAGGGCTCAGGGACAGGGGATACAGGGCAGGGAAAGGGGACAGGTGCTGGCGTTCTGACCACCCATGTGATGTTGTGATGCCACAGTGCCACACAATGGCAGGGCTGGGCTTGCAGTTCAAGAGGCTGAGAAGGAACAGGGTGAGCAGCAGCAGGGAGGGGAGGGTGGGGGGACATGGGGGTGGGGCGATGACCTTCAAGTTCAGGGGGGCAGTGGCGCAGGGTCGCACATGGCACCAGCTGGAAATGTCATGCTGTCAGATGTCAGCGGGCAGGCTAAGTATAACCTGGTCAGCACCTGGAAGGACGTCCTCTAATTAGAAGCGTGTTGGGCCATGTCGGATCAGACAGGGACAGCGCACTTGGTCACCGCCTTACAAACACAGATTAAACAAAAAACAAAAACTCACATTTAAGCAAACGGCAACTTTGTGTTGCCGTTTGCTTCGTCATGCTGCGTTCAAACCCCGGGCAGTCGCTGCGCTTAAACCACTGACAAATAAATACTAAACGCAAGCTCGGATTCTCGAATCCTTCTCCTCGGCGGCCTCATGAGAACAAAAACAACTCCAGGACGTGCACTCACACACAAAGTCACACCACTCCTGTGACCTTTTGGATTGCTATAAATAGAGCGCATTTCCACTCAGAATCTATGTTACAGATCCCAATGAATAATTTAGTAGCCTAATCCAGTAGGCAAGTTTTTTGTTTTTTACTCCTCTGAGCTGATGGCTCAAGAACAAAAAAAAAAAAAAAGGCAGCGCAGAGCACCAACAGGAACTATTCAGCCAACAACACCACCAAGCTTACACTTTTGGCCTTTTGTCTGTCAAAATTCACAATCACAATAGCATCATGAGCATCCAGTCCCTGGCAGATCATTCTGTGAAGTGAGCACAGATTCGCGGAGGAGATGGGCATCTCTGGGTGACTGGGCTTCGCTTATGTGAGTTTCGTGACTGTGTGTGTGTCTGTGCATGCGCGCACCAATGTCCAGTGTCAGCTCCCTGCGCTGGTTCTAGCTCAGGTTTGACGATGCTATCAGTTTGTCTCCGTGTTATCACACCCTTCTGACACCTGCCACCAACGCTACTTCCATCGCCGTTCTCCTGCCCGTTTCTCTCCCCCTCGCTACGCTTCTCTCTTGCGCCTCATCTGTCTCACTGCCAGGCGCTTGTCCACTCCACCTCACCTCTAGCTCCGTGGCCAGGGCTGCCGTCAAATAACTTCATTAGCTTTCCACCTCTGTCACGCCGGCCTGCTCCCCCTCTGACAATTGGCTGCTGTTTTTTTTTTTTTTTTCTTCAGAGAAGAGGAGGAAGAAAAAAAAAGCACAGGGCTACATGGGGCAGGTTGAGAACCCAACAAAAGCTGACAGTGTGCTAGACACCGGACAGTGATACTGATGGCTGCAGTGGGGATGTATGGACCAGAGGTCACACACAAAAGACCTGCCTGTATCTGCTCATGCAGAGCTGGAAAGCAGGGGACACATACGATTAAATCTAGACATTCTTAAAAGAAGGGAATCAAAAAGATTCTGTCATGAGACGTTCCCAAAAAAATGGCTTACAGAATCTTTCCTGCATACTTTTTTCCTTCAATATGCATAAATACACACAAAAAACCTCGATCTCCTGCTAGGATGACACACAAATGGCATGTTTTACAAGTCTAAATTCTGCTTTTGCGTCACATTACTGTACCCAAGCACCACATGGGAGTCGCTCTCCCAGGAAACGCATAAATAAGACAACTGCAGAAGCATCATGACAGATGCAACACCTCCTATAAACCCCCCCGCACACCAATTATTCACACCCAGCCAGGGTCAAGCACGTTGTGCCTGTGTCACCGCAGCGGGGTGGGAGTGGAGGGGGTGTTCGGAGGGTGTGCAGTGCCCGCTGTCATTATTAACTCGGGGTCCACTGGGCACAGGGTAGGGGCTGTGCATTTCAAAGTGCCTCTGTGGCTTTCATCTCTGAATCAAAATGTGGATCACACCGGATAGCTAACGGTTGTGTCAGTGTGCAAGGATAAAAATCAAAGGGTATCAGTATAACACTCAACGGAAAGCAGGGCAGCCACCCCCCCCAAAAAAAGAGATATGCTTATTATGTCAGAGGTCACTGAGAGTTCACTGGCTTTTTATGCCTGGGGAACTCAATGCAACTCCCTCTTTGCCTTTTACTCCCTCCGCCTTTGCTTGCTGTCACTTTATCTGTCTCATTTTTCTCCCCGTTTTTCTTTTTTTTAAATTTTTCCCTCTGCAGCTTTTTAATACCCCGCCCCCGCCTCCATAGGGCCTTGTGGGATCGAGGCACTGAGACAGCAGTGTAAAAGCAGGAGGGATGAGCTGCTCGTGTACGCACTCAATCTGGGTTGGCAGGGAGGTCAAAAGAAATAGAGTCTAGAGGTCCCAGGAGGAACTTCCTCACCTCTCCTTTCCTGGCTGCTCCTTGGCATGGGTAAGTCTCATAAAGATCTGAGCCCACTTCTTTCCACTTTCATAACCCTCCTTTCTTTAACTCCGCCCCCCAACAAAGGGAGAGAACTTTGTGATCAAAGAAGTGGTATTCATTAAAGCCCATCATCACGCATTCAAGTTCAACATCCTCTCGTCCTGTCTTTTTATATCCTGCCTCACTCTCCTTGAATGATGCCCCGACTAAGATGTCCGCCACTTGACACTGGGCTGACATTGCAGGGAGCCATCTTGGCTCCTCTGGGAGTTGCCTGGGCTTGATTGTGCAGTCTGGGAGTGAAGCGCAACTGGCACCCAGGGGGCATCCATGTGGAGCCGGGGCGTGCAAGATCGAGCGGGAGTTAACTAAGCCGAGCCGAGTCCCCGTGCATCCTGGCGGGGTCACAGGATGGCGCTGAGGGCGCTAATCATTTCAAATTATGAATTCCTTTTTAATTATGAATTATGCATAAATTTTTAATTAATCTAATGTTCCCAGGGTTTTTTTCCCCTCCCATCCTTACTCTCAAGATCTCAATCTAATTACACAGTATTAAGAGGAAGAGTGGCAGTCGTCGCCTCGACCCTGGCGCTGAACCCCGGTCAACCTTTTTCCATCAATCTTGCCATCTTCTCCAAGCTCATCTTTTGATATTTTCTGCAACACAGTGAAATGCATCTAAACATGGGTCGGGCCACGTACGGCTGGGAACAGCGTGTTTGTTAAGTTTGTTCAAGAAAGTGCAGTATCATAGCTGGCTTAGGAAAATAAAGAAGGAAAGGACAAACTTCCTATCAAGAGCAGCCAATATGAAGTCTTCTATTTCAGACGACAATCTTTAAGTCCGCTTGGGTAAATATTCAGTTTATCCCTTTGGCTAATTTGGAATTGAATTTGTCAGTAATAATAACAACACGTGCAAGGAAAAGCAGGAGGAAGACGCCAGGAATCTACAATTAGTCACCAACCGTGACAACTGACAAGATGCCGGCGAGAAAATAAATTCCTTGACCACTATTGACGAGGTACCCTTGAGCAAATCATTTAGTCCCTGACTGCTTTTGCGGAGTTAATCAGTGCCCAGCTGCACAGAGCTAAAGACGTGCCACCGGGCATTACCAAGTGTCAATTTTACACAAAAAAAAAAACAACCCCATCATACTGCATTTATGTTTGACTGGATAAATGATTTTAAAACTGAAACTTTACTTGGGTATTGATATGTAAAAATAACTGCAATTTCCAAAAATTAGACTAACTAAGAACATGCATGTTTGCATGAACTGCATGTTTTATGCTATTGGATTTAAGGTTCTGCCCTTTCCCCCATAAATACCACACTGGACGACCTCCCTCGTACCAGCAATGATGGGTTTTGACACCTCTGTGTACATCTATAAAGACAATTTCCAGGTTTTTCCAAGGGTAGGTGATACAAACCCAGTCACATGACCGAAATATGACAGAAACCACTCAGTTCAGGAAAGAGCATCAAGGGTTACTCCCAGTAGATAAAGCATTAAGAGCGTCACAGTGGCACATAAGTCAATTTCCTGTATATATTCCATTCTGCTGCTACCAACCCTGGTTGTGCGTACAGTGGGATGCGCTTTTCCAGCAATTTATGTTAGATGTTTTGAGTCATTACCGACAGGGTCCTCAATTCATAAGCAACAACAACAAAAAACAGAAGAGACAGGAAAAGCTCAGAAAAGGCTTTCTGAGCAGTCTTAGCCCCATGCAGTGAATTGGGCAGAAGGAGGATGTGAGTAAATGAGCTAGATGTGTTGGGCCCCAACAGTTTCTCACTTATGCATAAACTCTGTGTATCAATCATTGAAATGTGTCAGCTTTTGAATATGGATTTAAAGCCCAGATCTCACCTTCCCGTGTTTATCTCAGCGTCATCTGTGCTAGGGTTTGTTTTGTTTTTTTAAACTGATGTTACTGGAATATTTTAAGATGCTGTATCAGTTCACTACATTATGTTTTCAATAGCAATACAGAGTATATATAACAAATACCTATGCACAGGCAAGAACACGTTAGGCCAAAACCTGGATCAGAAACCACTATTGTCGTGTGGGTACCACAATGTATGGTACACAAACAAATCATGAATGGATGATGTATGTATGATGTATAAGACACTACAGTATACTATGATTAAAAGGTTTGAATTCCTTTAGTATAGTTGAAATTACTTTGAATACATGTGGCATTATGACACCACCTTTTCTGTGCTCAATAAGTTAAAGAGCTCAGTCACATATGCCAAAACCCATCTGTGCAGTGCGACTAGATGCACATAGTCTGAACTGTTACGTTTCTTTTCACCGTTTAAAGAATGACACCAATGGGAATTTTAAATGTTTTCTAATGTTAATGCCCATAAAATAAAATTTAAAAAAGAAGCCTGAGATGCGTTGGTGTACGTGCTGCTGTCAAAAGCTAAAACTCTCTATTCCCCGCATGTTTGAACTAATAGACATTTTACGTTCTCGTTGTTTTTATAAGCCATTTAAATAAAAAATAAATAAAAATAAAACAGCTCAGAGACATTCTGCAGCCTTGACCTGAGACAATAAGCATAAAAAAGTGTTTACACTTCTTACGAATGTTATTTCTGGTGACAATGAAGAATCAAAGCAAAACTTAAGGCAAAGGGGAGACAACATCTAGCTGGAGATCAGCGCCGATGTCTTCATATGAGAGTTTGGAAGAACTGAAAAACTCTTGATGAAAGTGCAACTGCAGTGAGTCGAGTTTAAAAAGTCAAGCTGAGAAAGCGGCACAATAAACAAAGCAATTATGGATTACAGGAGTTACACCACCGCTGCGTCTGTGTGAGCTGCTTTTCTATGCGTTTCTGCACAGCGTTAACTAAATGCAGCACTGTAAAGACTGCACTATAAAAAAAAGCTTTCGTTTAATGTAGGAAAAAATAAATCTATGCTAACCTGAAAGCTTCATAAGCAGGTCAGTGGCCGTTTTGGTAGTGATGTCAGGGCTGAATAAGGAGGCTGTGGTCGGAGCGCTGGGGCTGGATCTGACGCCGACTCCGACCCCTACTCCGGGTAGGTCCAGGGAGTTGGCGCTGCTGCTGGCACGGTCCCTGCAGATGCTGAAAGGGGAGAGCACGGACAGGTCTCGCTCTTGTGGCTCCTCCTTGATGTGGACGTGATTGGAGGACGCCTCGACTGGAGGGGACGTCTGCTGCTGAGCGTCCGAGTGCAGCGGGGACACCTCCGTCGCTCTCATGTCTGCGGAACTGCCGTCACCCATCAGGGAGCCCTCGCCCTCCGTGTCGGTGGTGATCTCCTCTTTCACCTTGACGTCTGTGCGTGGGAAGTGCTGGTGGCAGCGCATGTGAAGCTTCAGGCTGAAGTGACGGGAGGAGGTAAAGGGACAGAGTTCGCACTGAAACGTCTCACCCCGGTCCTGGTGCTGATGTACCTGGGAAAAAAATGGGGACAGGTTTAAGCGTCAAACCCCTCCTTATCTCCAGCACTGCATGGTGCCAGGAAGACAGCTTTAGGACATCTTTTGCTTTATTTCTACATTTCTTTGTGAGCCGCAACAGCATTAAATCATGCAAAAGAGAAATGGAAACATTTAAATAGTGATCAAACACGACATGTAAGGGGATCAGATCAGAGAGGAGAAAAATAAAATCCAACCTTCATGTGGGACTTGAGATTGTCTTTGCGAGCACAGCGGAAGGGACACAGCGGACACTGATGGCTTTTCAAGCCTGTGTGGATGACCATGTGTCTCTTCCAGTAGCTCTTGCGTTTGATGACCAGGCCACACACAGGACACTGGAATGGTTTGCCACCATCCTCAGGAGAGCCTTGATGGGAACCAAAGAATTATTATTCTTATTTTTCTGTTATTTATTTTTTTATTTAGAGGCAAGATCCAGTCCCAAGATGTTGATGGACTTTGATGAATGAATATGCACTAGCTAAACGAAACATTTAGTTACTGTAAGTGAGTATTGTGAGTGCGAATGGTTGTCTGTCTCTGTGTGTTAGCCCTGCGACAGACTGGCGACCTGTCCAGGGTGTAGCCCGCCTCCTGCCCTATGACAGCTGGGATAGGCTCCAGCACCCCCGTGACCCTGAAAAGGATAAGAGGAAGCGAATGGATGGATGGATAGTTACTGTAAAGCAAGCGTGCCAAAAGCTCCATCCATCCATCCATCCATCTTCATCCGCTTTATCCGAGGCCGGGTCGCGGGGGCAGCAGCCTAAGCAAAGAGGCCCAGACCTCCCTCTCCCCAGCCACCTCCTCCAGCTTATCCGGGGGAATACCAAGGCGTTCCCAGGCCAGCCGAGAGATATAATCTCTCCAGCGTGTCCTGGGTCTGCCCCGGGGCCTCCTCCCGGTGGGACATGCCTGGAACACCTCACCCAGGAGGCGCCCAGGGGGCATCCTTGTCAGATGCCCGAACCACCTCAGCTGGCTCCTTTCGATGTGGAGCAGCAGCTGCTCTACTCTGAGCCCCTCCCGGATGGCCGAACTTCTCACCCTATCTCTAAGGGAGAGGCCAGCCACCCTTCGGAGGAAGCTCATTTCTGCCGCTTGTATCCGCGATCTCGTTCTTTCGGTCACTACCCACAGCTCGTGGCCATAGGTGAGGGTAGGGACGTAGATCGACCGGTAAATTGAGAGCTTCGCTTTTACACTCAGCTCCCTCTTCACCACGACGGACCGGTGCAGCGTCCGCATTACTGCAGCTGCAGCCCCAATCCGTCTGTCGATCTCCGGCTCCCTTCTCCCATCACTCGCGAACAAGACCCCGAGATACTTGAACTCCTCCACTTGGGGCAGGAACTCATCCCCGACCCGGAGTGGGCACTCCACCCTTTTCCGGCTGAGAACCATGGCCTCAGATTTGGAGGTGCTGATCCTCATTCCCGCTGCGTCACACTCGGCTGCGAACCGCTCCAGTGCGAGCTGGAGGCCCTCACCCGATGAAGCCAACAGAACCACATCATCCGCAAAAATCAGAGATGAGATTCTGAGGCCACCAAAGCGAAAGCCCTCCGCCACTTGGCTGCGCCTAGAAATCCTGTCCATAAAAATTATGAACAGAACCGGAGACAAAGGGCAGCCCTGGCGGAGCCCATCACCCACCGGGAACGAGTCCGACTTATTGCCGGCAATGCGAACCAAGCTCTTGCAACGGTTGTATAGGGATCGAATGGCCCGTAGCAATGCCGGCACCACTGCACTAAGACTGCACTAAGTGCATTTGGCTGAAAACAAATTGGATTTGTTAACGACGATCTTCATACGTTGCAAAGCCACCTAGCGGATCAGGGATGGACAGTTCGGTGGGCTTGTTCTCAGCCGCAGGATCCATGTTTGACAATCCCACTGTAAAGAAATGCAAATCCCCTCTTTAATAAGGGAGTTACTCAGACACTGATCAGACCTGCGAGAGACAACGTCTGCGCACCTAATGATGAAAACTATCACGAGAGAAACACCAGCTGGAAGCGATGGAACAATGAAAGCAAAAAACTCTAGCATGTTTTAGTATCTCGATTATTGTTGTTGGCTTCATATCCGGCATCCATTACTGTTTAATTGGTCTTATTAGAAAGAGGCATGATTGCATTACAAATTCTACAAGGGCCTGTCAGGATGGCTTCATAAGTATTCCAGTGCCGTTCCTTGAAAAACATCTGGTAATCAGTGTTTGGTGAAATTACTGTGCTCAGCCATTCATTGACCTGAGGTGTAAAACCTCGAGACTGCCTATTTGCAACAATAAACCACCATCTGCGGCCCAACCTCTCCAAGCACAGCAGAGATCACAATGCAGAAATGACTTGTGCTTAGTCTAAGTTGAGGCGAACAAAGCAGAAATAAAACCAGGAGGCAGCGTGTGTGTGTTTAGTACTTAACATGTGTAAGCCTAATCACGTGTTAGGAAGAATCGACTCCCGTTTTTCTAAAACACGAAAGCACAGCATGCCAGCGTGATACAGTTTTATAGCAGAACTAGCGAGGGTCTACAATAAAACAAGACACGACAGTCAATAATCAAGGTCACATTTTTCAGTCTGGCGACCAAACAACTACCTGCATTTTTTTATTTTTTTTAACAGTGCTGCTCGACCTTGACGGCATGCCGGGTTAGAGCAGACCCCTTTTTAGCATGCAGATCACAGAATATTACATCGACTGCCTCATCTGTCTGAAGTCAATTTGATCCAGCCATTTTAGTTTTGGCGGGGTTGCGACACAATCCCTCAAAAGTGCCCATCCATCTCCCTGAAAACGTTCTGTTCTCCCTTAAGACTACTTAGCTGGAGCTTGCACTTTGAAGCCATCTCTCCGCCTGTCCAAGAGTGAGATCTGTGTGTGCACCCTTGTTTGGGTTACACGTCTACATCTGAGCACGCTCTTACAGATTATACTGCGTGCCCATTTGTAAGTAACTGAGAGACAGCGTGTACGAGGGAGAGAAGAAAGAGTGAGGGAGAAGAAAAAAAAAAAAAAGAGTGCACGCATCTGTATCCAGTCAGTGGAAAGTATGATGTGTTTGGCCTTAAGTCTGCTGTGCTGATCAGTGCAGAGGGCTCTGGTTAGTGGGGTATGAAGCCAGGAGGAGGCTGCTGAGATGGATATGGACTCCAGGGCTCCCCACTGTGCCGAGCACACACTGACGGCCCCCTTTTGGCAGCACGCACATCCGAGCACAAACGAGCTGGTCTGGGAAGGCAGTGAGGTCTCAGTCGGAACCCCCCGTCGAGCCCACAGACCATTTCCCAGACTAGAAGGCCAGCCAGAGCTGTTTTCTCTCGGCTATGCTCTCTGCTCGGCTGACAGTTAAGCTGAGGCTACACTACACACTGCTTCAGCGCCAGTGAGGTGAGAACAAAACCATTACAAAACTAGAGAAAACATGTCACCGAAGTTCACAATTCTGTTTCTCCGCCGGCATTTCTTTTTTTTTTTTTTGGTGACATGCGAACCTGCCGCTGCTACACGAAAAGGAAAGGAGACACGAGTCTGGGCTTTTTGGAGTCATCCTTAGAATGAAGTAATAATTTAGCACTGCTAACGGTGTGACTTTGAATTTCATAGTGTTGTATGTTTGGCCACACGATGGCTGGGGAAATATAGAAACTGAACTGACAGTCAAAAGACGTGAATTATTTTCTGCTGCAGTAAGACGAGCTTGCACATTCAACCATAGCAGTCTTGTTTAACTTTAAGCAGACAGATTGTGTGTTTAACACAATCTAACACTTGAGTGTACTTTAATAATTTTGTAAGTCTCTCTTGCTAAAGAAGAAAAAACTACATATTTTAAGTAGAGAAATATGGAGTTATGCACCTACTGTACTGTACCGTACTGGTGCAACCATTATTTTAATTAATTCACTAATCTGATTATGCTTATAGTGATTCCCATGCTTATTATAGTCCTTTATTGTGCTTTTAGATTACCTGCTTGGTTGCTGGGCTTCCCTCTGCCCTTAGGAGGAGAGGGCAACAGCAACTCTAGGCTCTGATTGGGTGTAGAGGGCGTGGGTGCTTTCTGGTTCTTGTCCAACAGGGGCTTCACGTCCTCTTGGAGGACCCCAGTAGTTGCCAAGGGGGAACCGTCTTTCTTCTCTGCCAGCAAGTTTCCTGCTGCCCTGGCTGCCACCTCTTTGAGCAAGGCAGCGGAGGAGGTCATAGACACAAGTGAGAGGAAGGAACTCGCTGCTTGGTGGTCCGTAGCAGCACTGCCCGTTGACGAGGCTTGGCTCCGTTCACTGACTTTCTTGGAGAGCGCAGCGAGGGTGGAGCTAGCTGACTGCGGGCTAAACGGAGAGTTAAAGGCATCGAAGCGCACCACATCGTCTCCTCGACCACCCCCACCCAGGGTGGGCACTGCAGATGAGGCAGAGGTGGATGAGGAGGAAGATGTCGTTGAAGAGGAGGCCACAGCGTTCTTGTCTTGAAGCACAGCGTTGGCTGCTGCTTTTAACTTCTGGATTGCAGAGTCCGGGGACAGGCTGGAGCCGCAGGGCGTGGAGCAGCTGGCTGGGGGCCACTTATCTGCTACACCTGCCCATACAAAGCCACTGCCGTTGCTTGGGGTGACAGAGTTAAAGGGGTCTAGGGGCTCTTGCTTGATGTTGGTGGCTGAAGGAGCTGTGGAGGCCGGTGAGGCCGAGCCACTGTTGTTGTTGTTACTGGCCAGTTTTCGGGCAAGAGCACTTAACTGCTGGGCGTGGTGGGAAGATGGAGAAAGTGTCAAAGGTGGGGCTAGACCTATTGGAGGAGAGTCGCCCCCAGCCCCTCCCCGTGATGACCGACCCAGGAGCTCCCCGGTGTCGAGTTTTAGCGACCCAGCTTCTAGGAGGCGCCGTAGGTTGCTGCTGAGGGGCTTTCCCAGGGCTCGAGATGCTGCCTCGCCGTACAGTGACGATACCACAGACGAGAGCGTGTCCTGGGCCGAGAAAGCACCTCCATCCAGTCCAAGAAGTTCCAAAGAGGCACGATGGACAGGCGTGGGGCAACCCAGCGAGCTCTCACCTCCGCAGGTGTCATGATCCCCAGACCCAGCGCTGACTCCAGGTCGTTCGTCGGGAGAGGAGCCCCTGGGCAGGAGGACCTCATCCTGGGTGTCTCCAAAAGACGACGACTCTGAGCGCGTGTCAGAGGCGTTCCCAAACCAGCCTTCCTCCTCCACAGCAGTGCCATCAGGCCCTCCTTCCTCATTGCTGTCCACATCTGGAAGAGGAGAGGAAACCAAAGGAAGAATTAATGAAAGTGTGTGAGTACTGTGGCAAATGTTGCTTTAGCGAACAGTTAAGACTGATGATTATTTCACAGCTAAACAATTGCCGTACAGCTCTAACTTAGGTTTACATTTATGATGCTTAAGACAGTTAAGCTTTCACAGTCCGGCTTCTACACTGCAGAGATTAGCAAACTACACAATGCAAAATCCTAAATGGGAGTCAAAAAGCCTTTAAAAGCTGAAAAAGCAGGCAGACAACTAAAAAGACTTAAAGCCCAAATTCAACTTCTTCTTCTTTTTTTTTTTTAATACAGTCACAAGGCACATCCGAGATGTTTGAGTAATTTAGATTTTTCTGTCTTTTTTTTTTTTTTTTTTTAAACCTTATTTTTCCCACCCTTGGTCTGGAAGAGCCTAGTAAAGGGGTTACCATGACAACGGGTCCTTCTGGGAGGCTAGACAGCAAAGATTAGGGTAATGGAGGTTACAGAACTAGATTAATATTCATGAGCCTGCGGATACCACCAGGGAGCCAATAAGGATAGGGTTAAGGTCACCAAGGGTCATTAATATACACTTCATGTATCAATATTCATAAGCAAAACATTACAGCTTGCCAGACAAGGGCGAACAAAGAAAAGTGAATATTCCTGATACATATTAACAAACCTCCATAAGAATATGTCAAATGCACCAAGCCCGGGTGAAACAAAATGTCAAAACTGACACCTCCTCTTTGGGTTACTGAACACACAAAGCTCACGAAACATTTAACAAAAAAGGGAACTGGCTGAGATTCATTAGAAGAGCAGGCACTCAAAAATGAAAATATCATTTAAGATGTCTTACACACCAACATACATTTCCAAGCACACCAAAGCTGTGTTCACCTTCACGACCCTCGCTGAGGCCCGGTGGGTCCGCTCTTTGTTTACAGGCAAAGGCAAAATCGTTGCCAGGCAACCCAGCCCAGCAACCTGTAGGGATCATTAGAGATGGCTGACATCTGGCCAGCATGGCTCGCTGTGGTCCGCAAAGGTGACCACAATCACAACCCGCTGTGACCGCTACTCTCCTTCTGCAACAGATATCAAACAGGGCCTGCACACTTCCAGATATCTTCTCATCTCAAACACATCCCCACTTCCTTTCTTACATTTTACAGTAACACAGAGGAAGATGTCAAAAAGCAGAGCAACGGGTCACCTTATAATATCAGCCTTAGTGCTTTCCAAACATCCTATAGCCACATGCCTAGTAGCCTTCACCTTGACAAGATATTACAGGACGCACTTTATGGCACTGACGAGCTCGTGTGACACTTTGTCTGTTGAGACTATTATTAAGGTGAATGAAAAACACCAAAATGCACCGATTGTGAACCCAATTTACCATGCCGCTTGAAGCCATTTTACCACCGGAGTAGGGTTAACAGGAATAAAGGGAGGCAGAGGGAGAAGGAGCCAGTGAGTCATGCAGGGCAGGGCTTGACCCATTTCCATGTGACATGCGAAAAGCAGCAAGAGCCACTAATGGCTGTAATGTGGTTAGAGGGAAATCGCTAGATTACTGACCCGAGGTCTCAGCTTTGAGGCTGAACTTTCTTGCTGCCTAAGTTCAATCTTAAACCTCGGGGTTAGGTGCAGCTGCACACAACACTAAGCCACTGGGCTTCTGCCTGAGTGCTACAGTGCGCACTTCACTACCATGGCTTTGTGTGTCACAGGCGAGCCACCCCTGTGGACAGAATGACATTTTCCAAGGTCGTGGTCTCCAGACCAGCTCTAAGGGGCCTTCATGCCAGTTCTGTACTTACAGCTACTGCTACATGCACATCGTACACATGGAGACATTCTTTGAAGAACAAACACACGTTTAATTGCTAAAGTCCTGCCCATGATTATCTTTTCCTTTTTTTCTTTTCCCCTGACATACACATTTAACTGCTTCGGCTCCTCAACGGTGGCTGGTTTGATGATGGAGGCATGGAGATACTGGCCGAGGCGGCAAGTGTCTGCCACTGAAAGGGAACCATTTAGCGGTGTAATGGCGGGGATGACTTGCATGTTGAGACAAACAGCTGCGGGGTGCTCAGCAGTCTGGATCTGTTATCACTCACACACGGATGATTCACTGGCAAAAACGGGAGGGAGTTTTCTCTCTGGGCCACTGAGATGTATAGCGCCACCTTATTATAGACAGACAAAGACAGACCTATAAAGGGGTCCAAGTCCAGCCTGAGACTCCATTAAAGGGAGGGCCAAAGGCTTCAAGACTTCCCAGAATAAACAGTGTTGAGCTTGACCAGAGATGCACACAGAGCAGATAAAAATATTTTCATGTACAGCGTTTAGAAATTTGTTGTGCTAACCTGTCAAAGGAAGAAACCAGGAGGCTCACAGCCCGTAACTACAGCTAAAAACAGTTGGACCTTCCAGGTAGTGGAGTTGTTCATTGTTTCACCACACAGAGCTGTCAACAATCTCCAGTTGTGAACTTGGCAGGATTATTTTGGCTGAGGCTTTTCCAGGTCAGAGGGTTGTGCACGCATGTGTGTGCTTTCGTGCTCAGATGTAGACATACAGACCGTGTGCCAGCTATATTTCAGCTAACCTTGTCGCACAGAAAGATCACTAGTTAAAAAAAAAAAAAAGTAAATATATAAAAGGAAGGCGTGTGAATTAGAGAAAGGAGAGAAGAGCAGGACACTAGAGTAAAAGGTAGGTCAAGAGGTCACCGACCACATGACTTCTGCGAGGCTGCTGACTAACATGTTCCCTCTCTTTTTTCCTCTCTCTCTTACACACACAAAGCTACTCTGTTGCTTAGCCAGGCATGAATATTGGCCTCCCCGACCCCAGGCCTGAACGGGGTAGGGGGGGAGAGGAGACGGGACAGTGAAGGAAGGAAGGGACAGAGAGAGAGATGGCAAAAAGGGAGGGGCTGATCTGACTGGGCAGGCAAGAAGAGGAGGCCATTAGCCGATTAAGGTTGGAAGGGGGTGCATCAATACTGCGCTGATGTCAAAAGGAGAGTCGTGCCCATGAGCTAATATAAGAATGAGAGAGAGAAGGAACAAGAGATAGAGAGAGGAGGATAGTGCAGGTCAGGGAATCACTAAAAATCGCACAGACTGCTGACCGCAAAGCCCTACAAAGTGAAATAACATGAAAGACTGTCACAACATACCGAGACTAGAGCCATCACATTTACATCACCAAAATGATTAGCCTCTCGTTCCTGCTAAGACTGGGAGGCTCATGGTGGTACGTGTGCTTGGGTTAAGGAGGTAGGGCACAGGGTGAAGCCATAGGAAGGAAGGCAGGGAGTATGGATGTGGTGAAGAAGGAGCCGGGGCAGTAATTAAGTGTCCGGCTGGACCCTGGCAGGGGTTGCCACAGCCGCGGGCTATGCTAATGAGCAAGCCCGGCGGTCAGGGCTACCTTATTAGTGCTCGCTGGACAATATGGTGGGAGAGATGCACTACTGACTGCTTCACGTCTCTGCAAATGACTAACAGTCCTCCCAAGGAGGAAGGTAATTCCATTAATTGGAACACAGTGGATCAGGATCACCTCCCTTTCCTTTTTCCACAAACCCTCACTTGCTCGATCTATGTCAAAATCCCCCCCCTCCCCCCGAATTAAGAAAAAAAAAAAGTAGAAATTACTTATTTCGTTATTCATTATTACCTGTAATCAGTAAAGTAGTCTCAGTTGTGTAACCAGGATGTTAGCCACTTTGTCATATACTTTACTTCATGCGTGTTTTTTTCCCTAACACCAACCAATTTTATAAAAGTTTTCACTTTGAAGAAGAATAACAGCAAGAGAAGACTGCAGGAGTAATGATTTAACCGAATGTTAACACAATACTTCATTGACATTTATTAGAAACATTAGACTTACTTTTGATTCAACGTCAACAAGTGTAAAACACATGTAAGTCAGTACCTTTCTAAACAGACAAATCTTATATTAAAAATGTAAAAAAAAAAAAAAATCTATTAAATTTTTACAAATCCAGATCCTGGCTCTTTTGCCATTTCTCATTTTTGAATATAAAATCAAAGGTTTAAAAAAAAGAAAGGTGTCATGTGTTTAGAGTAAGGACACATCTGTAAATCGGTTGAATATTGATGTTCCTTTGCAGGAGCAACATGACCATCACTCCATCGAGTTTATTCATCGTGTTGTTTCCATTAGGAAGTTGATGAAACATGACAACCAACAAGGCGACAGGCAATACCAGTGATTACTGAGGTGAAATGTCATACAGGACAGTATGCCTCCTATTTACATTAAATGAAGTTGTAAGACTGTGCCTGTCCTTTATGTTAAGCAACACCACCGCTTAACAATCTTAAAATAATCTGTAGTGTCAAACAGGGGCAGGGCTGTTTAATGGGACTTCTTAAAATTCCAGCTCGGTTCCAAAACAAAAGGGGAAAAAAAGTGGCAACAGTGTGAAAAATGATGTCAACTGAAACAGAAAACATTGACTTGGAAATCATTTTAAACATCTGTTTAATTGATAAAATAATGTCCAAATGATTTTAATAAAAATGATCACTGAATTTAATGCCAGCATTATTCAAAGCAAAGGCGATGGAGGTGAGAAAAGAAGGCATTTGTTGTGTAGTGCTAAAAAAAAAAAAAAAATACAAATAAAAACACACCTATTTCTAGAATTCACTTTTAACGTGACCTTAGTTCGCATTAGATCTTCTTAGGTTCACATTTGAGGCATTTATGGAACATCTGGAAATTTTAGCTACAGAAAAAAACCCAACCCAAGCCTGTGCTAGAAAAGAAAGTGATAGTGTAATGATCCATCTAACTATTTTTCGAACAATTAATCACAGGACTGCTGTCCTATCCTAGTTCTTTCTAGTGTCGCTAGTTAATCTCGCACGCTGGTTTTAATTTCATGTATGGATGATCAAATGTATAATAACCAAAGATGTTGCTTGCCGTGCACCATTTTTAATCGCGATTATATCGAACTAATTAAAAAAAAAACATCAGCAATTTGTTTTAACATAGTCTCAGCAAAGTGCACAAATACAACTAACTTACTTAGATTATGTATACACATGTTTTTGTACTTTTGACAGTACTATGGCTCACAACAGAAAAAAAACAACAACCCTGAACCATGTCATAGATCAGAGCTTCCCTGTAAGCAGGCCGATTATAGCGTTGTTTGGCGCTGCATTGTTAAAACAAGCATGTATCCTTCTGGTGCCTTCATAGATGCGCTAGTTACCCGTGCTAAATACACTGATGCACCCCCATACTATTGCTACTATATCACTAGTGCTGGCTTTTAAACTGTGCACTGACCACAGGATAGTTTTCCACTTCGCCCTCAATCCATCCTTAATGAGCTTGGGACCAGAGACGAAGGTGGCCTCTGCACTGCTTTTGCATGCATTGTGTTTATTTGTATGTTCCTCTACAGAGTCATGTCAGCTGTGCACTTTTCTTTTATTACATTACATTATTAGTTTGCACACGCCCCATTTAGATGCCTATTTTTTTTAAAATCATGTTATGGACCTCTTGCCATTTAACTAGTCTAGTTTTTACATTTTAAATAACTAGTTTTAAACAAATAGAAAGACCATCATAAAGTGACTAGTTTCTAGAAATCTACTGTAAGGACTGATCAACTCATTTTCTCGTGGTGATTCAACAATGTGGAGGAGAATGTGATGGAGGACACCACCTTGTCCATGTTCAACTAAGATGAGATCATAGTTTCATCAGTGAGCCCTGATGCTCTGCACAGATGAAGGCATCATCATCCTGGAAGAAACCACTCTCATCTGGACACAAACATTTTATCATAGGATACAAGCAGAGCTACAAATCAACTTTTTATTACAGCCATCCTCTCCTCCAAGCGAACTGAGGGACCCAAACCAAAACATTCCCTCAGGGGTCACGGGTTAGAATTTTTTTATTTTTTTTTTTAGGAACAAGATATTCACCCTATAGTAACACGATGTCTTTACATGACATGTCATCCCATGTATTAATGAAGATTAACATTAGACATTCAGATATTCAGTTCAGAAATGATAAAAATCCAGAATCGACGCCTCTCCAGCTACCTGCACTATTCCACCCAAGTGTTTGTGTCTGTGACAAAGACATAAAGAGCCCATCTTTCAGCTGGAATCTGAGGTGAGGTGATACTCTCAGTAGGGATCAGGGTTCAGACAGCAGTGCTATATATAATGGTGGTTGAGTCGTATTGAAATGTAGCGCAAATTACCATCTGTGTATTTTCGGCCTTGGCCTCCGTGGTTTGTGGGTACTTTGGGCGGCATGCCAGAGGTGAAACAGGAAGGAGAAGTGTTCTTGGAAGAGAATGAGACGACTGAGAGCCCGAGACCTCTGAAATTCCTCAATGCAGATGAAGTGCACTTTACATCCTGGTTTATTTTTCCCTTCCATTTTTAGCATCTCATGTAGAAAAGGAAAAAAAAAGTTCTTGCTCATAACCTCAGATGTGTACTCGAAGCTATGTGCCTAAACTGCTGGAGGGAGACGTATGTATTACATGCTGCAGCTTTAAGCTGAAACATTACAAGTTCATCCCTAAAGGAAAGAAATCTTCATTATAGTCACTTTAAAGTCAACTTAAAATGCAAAAAAAAGTCAATGTGACACTAAAATGGTGCAAAAACATAAAAAGGAGCAACACCCGGGGCAAATACTTCACTCCTTTAGGGGTTAGAGGCGGTCAGATGGTGTCCGAGTTTAACGTGAACTGTACAGGGTCCTGTATAAAGCTGTAGCCCTGAACTCTAAATAATAACCAACAAAAGGTGCACGTGAGAACGCAAATGTCCAACATTCATATTTAAAAGCAGTCGTTTTCTCAGAAGCAAATCCTTCTTATATATTTAATTATGATGTTTAAAAGAGCAAACATTTCAGTGACTGTTTTTAATGCAGTATGAGATTCCTGCTTAATCGTCACAGTGCACATTACCTTTTGATGGCAGTTGGCACGGCCCCCCAGGCAGGCAGGCAGACATACACAAAACATAGGATCCCGACAAGAAAAACAGTCATTTTAGCTTGAGACACACTGCTGATTGGTTCGCTTGTGTTCATGCGTGACCTTTGTATTTTAACAGGTTAGTTTGGATCTGATGTTACGTGTTATAGCACAAAAGTGAGGAGACAATTTGTGCTTTCTATGAGGTCAAAGTGACTGGTTTTGCCAGCAGAGACAGGGTGGTTTTGAAAAGACTGATTTCTTTTCAAGTGTGTTATTTCCACAAATCAATGAACTTTGCCAATGCTGCCACGCATGTCGTTACAACATGTGAAGTTGTTCCTTTGTTGTTTGACAGGCAATGTGTCTCACTCTGTGCTGCAGGAGAACTTCTGGGATCGACGAGAGACGACTTACGCAAACAATGGCCAGCTTTATTCGAGAAAAGCTTTATGTAGCTCAACATCAAGTTATTTCAATACAAATACTCTCCAATCCTATATATCGTTTGGAAAAAAAAACAAAAACAAAACAAAACATACAAACACATAGGTCTTGACTTGATTCTACTGACAATGTGCAAAGTTTATATAAGCAGTTGCTTATGACAGCTGAACATAAGTATCATAAATGAATGTACTTAAAAGAAGTGTGAAAGTTTGGCTTAACAAACTTTGTTCTAAACTAGGGATATATCAACACTTTTAGCCCTTTATTATACAATCTTTGATTAAGCACAAATTAAAAATCATCAAACTCATGAGACAACCTTTAATCTTGTACAGGAAACAGTTTAAGAAATGGATAAATGAAAGCACACACACACACACACACACACACACACACACACACACACACACACACACACCGTTTCAGAGGTCTTTGTAGCCCGCTGCACAAATATCAAGCACTGCATCTGTACAACACAAAACTGATGTGACAACAGACAAACATCAGTCACCATCAGCATTCATCAATAGGCTGAAGCAGTCAACCAGGTGAATATCTGCCAGTATATTGGCCCATATTTCTACTAAAAATATAAATTATTTTCTGCTAAATGTAAACCAATTTAGTTTAACTTCATATGAGTTAATAATGCCCCAAAAATGCACACACACGCACACACTTCAGAACACCATCTGTAATTGAAAACTGAAAATACCCCACTAAATGTTAAAACTGATCATTATAACAATAAACAGCTCAGGCTTGTATACTAACTGAAGTACCCAGTGAGAACAGGCCAGGGTCTGCTATCTGTCACTGTTCAAAGAACCAGCTTAGAATATGTGAAACATCTATTCCACATGAAACTGTCAAAACGCTTCTCAACTGAGTGGGCAAAAGGCAGGCATTTTCTAATCACCATGCCTATACTATCAAACACTCTCAAGGTTATTGCATTTTAAGACTTTTTTTCCTTCCTGTCTTGAAAAGGTTGACAAAGAAAAGCGCTGGGAAAAAAAGAAGAATGAGAAAAACTCTAGTTAGTGTGTTGCATTCGTGTGTTATCGTGCAGACTAGACACGCCGATTTCGATGATCTGAAATCAGTAATGGATTGGATTTATATAGCGCTTTTCAAGGCACCCAAAGTGCTTTA